CATCATGAACTACAAAGATGAGTGTGTTATCAGTAATTATATACCCAAGAACATTAAATCAAGAATCACAAATTAATTAATATTGGTACAGTGGCTATAGTAGGAAGATGGCGGTCCTTTCCTAAGAAATCAGACGATTCGCAAATCGGGCCCACAACATCAGAAGTCAAAACAGCAGAATCGGGCAGTGCAAGAGAAATCGGTACTATGAGCTGCGTTCAATTATGATATATATATATATATATATATATATATATATATATATATATATATATATATATATATATATATATATATATATATAATGTGAGGTTCAATAGAGAACCATAATTAACAAGGAACCAATCGTGAGCGTCGGAAATCATAATGATTAACGGTCAAGGAAATAGATGTACACTTGTACATTGGACGCACACACACCGCATTATACCAAAAAATCCACCTCATTACAAAAAAATCCACCTCTTTTTTCGTTTAAAATATTTTTTAGGCCACATTCTTTTTCGAAAAAAAAACCGAATATACTGTTGTTCTCGATTTTTCGTCCTCTTTCCATAGAGATCCATGATGATATATAAAAACGAATTTTTTTTTTTGAAAAAAACTCACTTCATTTTGTTAGTTTTTTTCAATATTTAAGTTTATTTTTATAAAAATAAAACTAATTATACCAAACAATATTAATTTTTTGTAATCTATTAATAAACATCAATACCGACTAGAGAAAAAAAAAACATCGATCAGTGTAGATTCACACTGTGAATCTAAACTGTAAATATTTCAATTTTTAACATTCACAATGTGAAAAAGCTCGATCAGTTCAGATTCACATTGTGAATCTGACTTACTATTATGCATGCTATGAATCTGAACAAGTTCAGAATATGAATCTGAACAAGTTCACAATGTGAATTTGAACTGAAATATCGTTTTTTTACATGAATATAAATGTATGTTTAAAAAGTACAAAAAACATGAATTTTGATATATTTATTAATTTTTTTCTATAAAAAATAGACTTTAACTTTTGAACAAAGAAAATGAAGTGGGTTTTTTCAAAAAAAAAAAGTTCGTTTTTTATATATCATCATGGATCTCTTTGGAAAGAGGACGAAAAATCGTGAACAACGGTATACTCGGTTTTTTTTTCGATAAAAAACATGGCTTAAAAAAAATTTTAAACGAAAAAAAGGAAGTGAGTTTTTTATAATCTGGTGCATGTGCGTCCATTGTAAAAGTCTACAACTCTTCATTTTGCCGTTGATCGCTTTAAATTTCGACGCTTTGGATTGGTTCCTTGGTTCCTTGATTAATAATGTTCTCTATTGAATTTATATATATATATATATATATATATATATATATATATATATATATATATATATATATATATATATATAAAAGCACAATCAATGTTCTAAAAGATGTTACTTAAGAGAGACTAGTGATTTCAACCGATTAATCTCGCTTAGCTTAATACAGCATTAAATGGGACTATTTGTTAAAAAATTAGTCCCACCCAATAGGGTGGAACACAATAGAACACGTCTTCCATTTTCAAGTATGACAAAAATGCCCTGACATATGTTATCTACTCCTTCTTCAGTCTGTCGTGCTTATCTAAAGCTTTGATGATGTATATAAACTCCCTACACACTTCCATTTATTATACCTTCTAGATTATGTCTTTCAGCAGTGGCGCACAACTCCATCTATTCCTACATCTCTAATCTTCATCGTCTATTCTTTTTTTTTTCTTTCTTTTTTCTTTTTGTTGCTTCTCAAATCGTTAATGTTTCTTACCCTAAACCCTATGTGTGTAATGTGTTTAATAGTAGAAAAGTTAATGAATATCCCATAAAAGTAACTTCATCCCTGATAAGTTAATTCTTCAATTAGTTAATGTTTCTGAATTAGTTAATTCTTCAATTAGTTATTAGTAGAATCGTTTTTGCTTCAATTAGTTAATTCAATTAATTTAATGCTTCTAGTTATCTATTTCTTTTGTTGCTTCTCAATTATTTAATGCTTCTAGCAAACTTATTCATTTGATTTCCTGATTAATATTTCATGGACTATGTAACTGATGATTTTTGGTAATTGGCAAATTCCTTTGAATTTGGTATATGAATTTTAAATATATTTTTTTTTGTTAATTTTGTTAAATGTAGTTTTTACTTTTATTTTGATAGAAGGGCATATTGTCATTTTAATGTCTTGTTCTTGTTCTGTTCTAACTTTACTAAACAAAATCTAACAACTTGTTTTGTTCTCTTCCAGTCCTACCAAACGCTATATAAATAAATTGTCTAGTTCTGTCCAGTCCTGTTCAGTCCAGTTCAGTACAGTCATGTTCCATCCGGTCAATCTGCCAAACGCTACCTAAAGGCCTTTCCTTGGAACAACATATTTTAGTAAAACCTGGCATGATATAAAATTTTTAGAAATGAGGGCTCAATGCTTTTCTTGTTCAAGAACGAAAAAAGAATAAGCGCTTAAAAAGTAAATATGTGAGATTTGATATTTATTTGACTAGTCACAACCTTTTCCAATTGCAATTTCTTTGGTTCTTCTTTTTCCCACTCCTGTTACACCGCCCACGTCTTCCATTTTCTTTCCTTCGTCTACGGGCTAAGGCCTAAGTTAGTTTTTCCTTTTTTTTAATGCGATATTTCATAGAAGTTATTTAAGTTCTTCCCTTTTTCTCTGAGATGTTTTTATTGCGTCTTTAACTATATAAGGTGTTGTAGATGTTTATGCATTTATTATGTCTTTTCTGATTTAAGAACTAGAAATTTAATTTTGTTGTGACCAGGTCAAATACTAAACTAAATTTCCAAGGCATCACCCAATTTTTGTTTATTAATTTTAACTGTTAGTTATATGTGATTAAGAACTTATGTAACAATTAATTTGTGAACTTCTAAGTGTTTTTGTAATTTACTATTTAAATGATTATGTAGTCAGCAGGATATGCGATTTTTCGAAATCAATTATTTATGAGATTTTATTTGAGTTTTGAATTTTGTGAATATTTTACTTTTATGAATAGTTTGAACTTTTTAAGTCTTTGAATGGATATGTTATGTAAGGGTGAGCATTTGGACCGGACCAACTCTTGGACCGGACCGGTTTCAGAGAATATTGTGGACCGTGGACCGGATCGGATGAGACTTACCGGGTCCAGGTCCAGGACTGGGTTTTCCGGTTCTTGGACCTGTTTGGACCAGTACAACTTTATATGCATACAGTACAACTTGTTAAAACGCATTTTTGGGTTTGATACAACTCGTTAAAACGAATATGTTGTTGGGTTTGATACGTTACAACTCGTTAAAATGCATACTTTTTTGGGTTTAATACGGTACAACTCGTAAAAATAAATACATTTTCGTTTATTATGACCTTTGGACCGATCAAACTTTGATTATTTATACTTTATACCATTTGTTTGAAGGATTGTAGCTCATTGAATATAACACCAAAAACAACAAAAATATAGTCTAAAATCATCTACAAACTCTAAATTACATCTTGGAAAAAAACGCATGTCAATCTGACTTAAAACGAATGAGATATGATTGTTTAAAGAATTTCACAGAATACAAAAGTTTAAATTTCTTGCTGAAAAGCTGAAATATTTCAGTTTTGATATCTCATCTTTGAAGGATTGTAACTCATTGAATATAACACCAAAATCAACAAAATTATAGTTTAAAATCATTTACAAACTCTAAATTACACGTTGGAAAAAACCGCATGTCAATCCGACTTAAAACGAATGAGATATGCTTGTTTAAAGAATTTCACAGAATACAAAAGTTTAAATTTCTTGCAAAAAAAACTGAAATATTTCAGCTTTGATATCCATCTTTGAATAATTATAACTCATTGAATATAACACCAAAAACAACAAAATTATAATCTAAAATCATTTACAAACTCTAAATTACACGTTAGAAAAAACCGCATGTTAATCCGACTTAAAACGAATGAGATATGTTTGTTTAAAAAAATTCACAGAATACAAAAGTTTAAATTTATTGCTGAAAAGCTGAAATATTTCAGGTTTGATATCTCATCTTTGAAGGATTGTAACTCATCAAATATAACACCAAAAACAACAAAATTATAGTCTAAAATCATCTACAAACTCTAAATTACACGTTGGAAAAAACCGCATGTCAATCCAACTTAAAATGAATGTGATGTTTGTTTAAAGAATTTTACAAAATACAACTTTTTTTTAAAAATAAGCCGGTCCAAAACTGGTTTTTACCCGGAACTGGCCGGACCAGACCGGTTTTGCTGAAATCATAGAACTGAGAACCGGTCCGAGGGTCCAAAAAACCAGTCCGGTCTGGTCCAGTTCACCGGTACGGTCCGGTCCATAGGTCCAAATGCTCACCCCTATTGTTATATGATGTGAGTTTTGAAACTCTTTAAATCGGTAACGGATGTAGTGTTCTAATATTTTGTGAATTGTTCGAACTTTGAAAGTCTTCAAACCAGTATAGGTTATGTCAGGGACGGATCTTCATGGGGGCGAGGAGGGGCTGTGCCCCCCCCCCCCCCCCCCCCCTGTTTTTTTTGTCACAACTAGTCCTTAAGTTAAAATTTTTACATATTAGGCCTAAAAGCTATAAAATTTGGCTTTGGCCCCCTGTTCTCCGATTTTCATACTTATTATACTTTCGGCCCCCAAAATCAAAAGTTCAAACTCCGTCACTGGGTTATGTGAACTTTGACACTCTTTTATCAGTAGCTTATGCAAACTTCGAATCAGATGTAGCATTCCAACATTCTCACATTAATTAAGGAAACCTCATGACAACGGTAGCGTGTAATTAAACATTTATCTTGCTGATCTTTTTATTTTTTCTTTAAACTGGAACTCAAAAGTCACTATTTTGATCCGACCCAATCATATAATTGATTCCTAATGCTCCCTACTTAGAAAATTCATGTGTAGGTGGGAGACATTTAGGTGTTGTTTCGTTTTAACCAGATGAACATGATAAGAAAAGGATTTTTAATCCAATAAATAAGCTATATATAGGTATGACCGAGTGGAAAAATCGTACATGATAAGCACCATAAAAGCTAGGACGCATAAGCTCAGCCATGCTGGCATCAACCACACTAAAGTTCTTCGTGTCATTTGTTTTCATACCAATGAGACGAAGCACAAGACCACAAGTATTCCCAATCATTGACCTCCCAGGTTCAACAATGAGATTAAGGTTTCGAGACAAAACTGCCTCCCGCACCTTACCACATCAAATATTAAAAAATAAAAATAAATAAACTTCAGAATTAAAAATGACCCAACAATCGAAACTCAATAGAATATACTGTAGTTCTTACTGTGTCAATGAGATCTCGTGGTGTAGGAAGGACGTTACCAGTATGATAATAATCAATCCCAAGCCCACCTCCAATGTTCAAGTAACTAATATTAAACCCTTGTGCTCGAACTTCATCTATAACCTTCACCATAATGGCTGAAGCATCTCTGAATATATCCACCTAAAATAAAGTCAACGCCAGTATAGGTCCAAGGGTTTGAAATGTAAATAAAACCAACAAAAAGAAAACCGGATAGATATTTTGTTAAAAAATATAACAAGATGTAAAATACCAATGAACCCCGACTAGCGTAAGTTCATTTAGATACGACTTTATGGCATCTAGAAAACCATTGCAATTTCTCGTTTCTTATTCCAAATCTAGAGTTCTTGTTCCCCATTGCAACATAAGGATGGACCTATTGAAAGTATTATAGATATGACATTTATTTTCATCTTTTAACTATTATATTTCAAAGGAAAACATAAAACATAAAAGAAATAACATCGAGCATGCATCCTTATAGGAAAAAACACAATGTATCCAAGAAATTAAGGTGTGTACGTTGTCATTCCATTAGCCCTCAAAGAAAGAAAAGACAATGCTTTGATCAACTAAATCAATCTTCTTGCTTAATCAAGATGATAAAATTAGGATTCAATATGGGTCATCACAAACCTGAGGGTCAACATCTGGATTGATCCTTGTTATTATAATTCTGAGTTTAGTAAGTTTTTATTAAGTCTTTATTAATGCACATTTTAATAGTTAGCAAGAATAAATCAAAGCCATGTTGGCTATGCAGTCCGGGTCTCATGTTAGGTGGAGTTAGTTGCTAATTAGTCGCATTTTCTCATGTTTAAATAGTTTATGCTTGTGTACGTTGAGGATCATCTCCTCCAATTTATTTTTCACTAAATAAAGCATTAAGCTTGTGTGTTAGGGTGCAAAGTCACTCTTGGATGTAGTGTTTTAGGCTTTCCCCTTTGTATGTGTAAATGAGTTGAGTCTTTCCTATAAATAGGAAGTGAGTGACTCCCATTATGTAAGGAACCATTTGGAGTGTTATACTAGAGAGAGAAATTGTGTACAAACCCATTTGTATATCCTTTCTATATCTAATATGAGCTTAAAAAGATTTATTTACTCCTTGTGTTCTTGATTTTAAATGATGATTCACTAGATCTTTCTAATTCCGCACATGCCATCATAATCAAAACTACTACAATTGGTATCAGAGCGGGTGTTCTTGATTGGATCAAGAATTGATCCTTGATGGCTATCTAGATTTGGTGATTCTTTGTTTTTGATTTTTGATCTTCGTGATTTAGAGAGTTTTTGGATTCTAGAAATCGAATTCATCTTTGATTCTATTCAGAATTCGATTTTCTTCACTAGAATTCAAGTGATTTTTACTTTCTCTCTCTAGAAAACCCATTCAAAATCACTTTCTCTCTCTAGAAATCTTCAAGTTTTTGTGATCATGGTGAATTTGTCGTATAATTCTTGGATTGTGATCGTTGAAGATGTCAAATACAAAGTCAATAAAAATCAATATTATGGGTTGGTGTTAAACAAGTTGATTTCATGGGGAACTATGGTTTCTTATGGAGGATTGAAGGATGACCATGGAAGCTTGATATTTCAACCACTTTGTGAGATCAAATGGTTGGCTGATATTACATGGTCCATATCATCACGTAGTAGTGATAAGATTGGAGAAGAAAAATATTTATTCAGAAAGAAATATATTTCTCTTATTGAAGACCCAAATGATCTCCGTGCTCTTAAGGTTGTTGAAGTTGTTGACAATGGAGTTCAATGTGATGTTCTTGATGTTCTTGAAGTTCATGATAAGAAGATTCAAGTTGATTCTCAAGATGAAAAAGTTTTTTGCTCGATTGGAGTTCAAACCGATGATATTTTGTGTTCTTGTGATTCGTTTGAAGGAATGATTCCTTATCGGAAGCCGGTGATCCAAGAAATTCACAAGTATCAAACTCCAAAAGATTTGATTCAAACTCATAAAGTTGAAGTTGTGGAAAGTGGGTTTGTTCATGAAATCAAGTCTTCAAGTTGCAAAAAGATGAGAAAGAAAAAGAAGAAGAAGATCAATCGCAAAAATAAGCGGGTTTACTCACAAAAATTGCCAAATGTTGTGAAGCCGAAATCCGTGAAGCAAATTTGGGTTCCAAAGCAACAATCTCCAAGTGTTGCATTGAATTTGAAGTCAAAACCCAAAAGTGTTGATGGTTCTTTTGAAGATGTTCTTGGATCAATGAAGAACACGAAGAACACGAAGAACGAGTTGTACATCTCGCATAGTGGGTGGTACAATGTTCAAATTGGAGATTTCCTCATTCCAACAAAAGAACCAAGATCTTCTAAATTTGATTCGTTCGTTGAAAACGGAACTCGATTCGTCAAAAAGGTATCACAAATTCTCAAATGGATTCCAAAACATCCATGATTTCGATTCGTATTTTACGTTTTTCAATTTTTGATCGATTTGCCTCATTGGATCAAACCCGTTTCAACCCCGTTGATTGATCCAATTATTTTTGTTTAGATCAAGCCCAAAACTCGATCCCTTTTCATGTCCAATTTTTGAGTCCAAACAATTTAAATGACCTGATTATTGTTCATTCAACCAAAATTAGCCCAAATCTCATACTATGTTACTGTTTGCTTAATCCAAAAACATTGATCCCAAACAGTTTGATATTGTTCATTGATTATTAAATTTGAGTCCATATATCTTTAATCTGAAACTATTCATCCGTTGTCAAAATTGAAGTCTTTGTGTCGACAATTCAACAAAGACAAAAAGTCAAAATCAAATGAGTTCTTGATGAATCGTAAAATTTTTGAGTTCGTTGGGATTCAATTTCTATTCGTTGACTGATTGAAAAGCATAGTTGGTTGAAGTCCAACTAATTTTGTTTGACGTTAACTATTCGAATCGTATATTTGAATCGTATTTTGTTGGAGTTCTAAATCGAATCATAAAATCGAATTTGTGTTTAGAGTCGAAACTAGATTTTGATTGAAGTCGAATCAGATTGTGCTGATTATGCTTGAAGTCGAATGTCCTTACCTGATTTTGGGATAAAAGTTGCTTTTGATTTGTCTTTGACTTCGTATCATAAGGATCATAAATTGAAGTTTCGATTTTGGTTTAATAGTCAAAATCAAAGATAGTGAATTCGATTTGTGTTTGAATGGATATTCACAACTGATTATTTGGTTCAAATCATGTTTTTGATGTTGATAGACCTAGCCTGATGTCGATGTTTCGATGTCGTTGATTACCAATTGATATCGCTTTTGGATGTCAACGGCTATTTATTGATAATGAAGGTCGGGTAATCGCGATTTAAATGTGAAGGTTTGTTGATTGATGGTTGCTGTTCACTGGAAATCGAATCCGATTTAGGAAGTATGTACAATCGAATTTTCGTTGTCGATTGTTGATTTTGGAGTCGATTTTGGAGTTGATTTGATTTTGAATGAAGCCTTGGATTTGAACGAAGTTGATTTTAAGTGAAATTTTTGGATGTGAATTCGAAAGTGGGAAATTGAATGGATTGAAGTCAATGGGTTATGTTGATGAAGTGTGACGGAGGAGCACTGGTTGAAGATTCAGAGAGTAAATGTGAAATCGATTCAAAGGAAGGGATGATTAAGAGTTTACTGTTCATAAGTGAGGCTTAGTTAGCTTTCGAATTCGTTAAAGATGGTATATAGTTTCGTTCAATCGTATTTGGGAATCAGTAAAAAGGTGATGTGAGAATTTGAACGAACAGGCTCAATTTTGGGGAAGCAATGATGTTTACGAAAGTTTAAAATTTCGTTCATATGGTGCAGATGAATTCGTACGAAGGGGTGTTTGGAATTTCGTATGAATGATAAAGGTTGGATTCGTACGAATTGAAGAAGAAGGCGAATTTTCGAAAATGGTCCCTAGACTTTCGCACTAATATGCAAAGTTTCGTATGAATGATCAAAAAGCTTCGTATGAATTGAAAAAGCAAAAGTTTCAAAAACAGCCCCTGAACATTCGAATATTTGACACTTCGAAAATTAACCCAAGTTTCGTATATTTGACACTTTTGACCCAAATTCGAAAAAGGACTGTTTTTGCTGAAATTTGAAGAAAATACATTTCAGGCCCCTGCAGTTTGTGCAAATTGACGCTTTCTACCCGGCTTTGGAAAAGGGGGAGAGTTTTGCATATTTGGCTGTTTTGGGCGCAACAGGTCCCTGCAGAATTCAGAAAGTGACGATTTTTACCCGGTTTTTGAAAAATCTTGCAACTTTCACCCAAAAAGTCAAAATTTTTCATAAATTGGAAATTTTTTGTGGCTTTTTCATGATTGTTTTTCCGTGCAAGATTTTTGGTGATTCATTTTTGGTACACATCAAGGGGGAGTATCGTGAAAACTATTCCTCGGGCGCTTCTCACCCTTAGTGGGTTTTATAATCATTTTTTTGATTATAAAAAGGGGGAGAATGATGGGTATTCGAAGCTTCTCGGGTTTGTCGGATATTCATTAGCGGATTTGAAGACCGATGTTTCTTCGAGGGGGAGTTTGGTCTTGATCCTGCGAGCTCGTTGGATACTGAATCTGAGACATTCAATCCTAACTTTGAGGGGGAGAATGTTAGGGTGCAAAGTCACTCTTGGATGTAGTGTTTTAGGCTTTCCCTTTTGTATGTGTAAATGGTTGAGTCTTTCCTATAAATAGGAAGTGAGTGACTCCCATTATGTAAGGAACCAGTTGGAGTGTTAGACTAGAGAGAGAAATTGTGTACAAACCCATTTGTATATCCTTTCTAGATCTAATATGAGCTTAAAAAGATTTATTTACTCCTTGTGTTCTTGATTTTAAATGATGATTCACTAGATCTTTCTAATTCCGCACATGCCATCATAATCAACACCACTACATTGTGAAATCCTCTGTTTCTTCCTTTTTCCCGGTTTTTTTGTCACTGTTTCATTGAAGTCTTGAAGACACAGGTTTGTGAAAAACCAACATTTGGTATCAGAGCGAATCTGGTGGTGTATGCGAAAATATCAATCTCGAGAAGAGATGACGATCGGTACTAGTAGTGGCAATGGAAATGGTGAGAAAGATGGGAATGTTACTCTGCACTATCTGATGTTGTCAAGAACCAATTATGGTGCATGGGCGATTAAGATGAGGGTGTTCATGTTGGCCCAAGGTGTCTGGGAGGTGGTGGAGCCCAGAACGGCAAATACCCTTGTTGAAGCAAAGAAAGACAACATGGCCTTAGCCGCAATCTATCAGGGTATACCTGAGGATTTGCTGATGGTGCTAGCTGAGAAGAAGACGGAGAAAGAAGCTTGGGAAGCTCTCAAGACGATGTTTGTAGGAGCAGAAAGGGTGAAGTCTGCAAGAATCCAAACCCTAAAGGCCGACTTTGAAGCCATCAACATGAAGGAGACAGATAGTATTTATGAGTTTACTGCAAAAGTAACAAGTGCAGTCAGCTCAATACGCACTCTTGGTGAGAAAGTTGAAGAAGCCTATGTGGTGAAGAAGCTACTAAGGGCAGTTTCGTCAAAACTCATTCAACTGGCATCCACATTGGAGCAGTTTGGTGACCTGGAAACGATGAGTGTTGAAGAGGTCATAGGAAGGCTAAAAGCACATGAAGAAAGATTAAAGGGTCGTGATGATCAAGATGATCGGAAATTGCTCCTGACTCATCAAGAGTGGTCTGAAAGAAACAAGAAGAATCGAGATGGTGACTCAAAATCCAAATCGAATCGAGGCGGATTTAATGGGTCACGAGGAAGAGGACGAGGACGTAGTAGAGGTGGTGGTCGCGGTGGTCGTGGCAGAGGTGATCACAATTACCAGAAAAACTCAAACACTCACGGATCAAACAATTTTGACAAAAGTAAGGTACTGTGTTACAATTGTCAAGAACATGGTCATTATGCTGCGGAGTGTAAAAATCCTAGAAAGGAAAGAAGTCAGGAAAGTAATTTGATCCATCAAGACAATGAACCTGCATTGCTACTCTCTTCTATTGAAAAAGGAGAAGAAAATGGGGAAGTAATGCTAAATGAAGAAAACATGAAACCAGAATTGAAAACAAGAGGTGGTTGCTTGAATCAAACAAAGGTGTGGTATCTTGATTGCAGGGCCAGCAATCACATGACCGGTGATTAGTCAAAATTTAAAACTTTGAATGAATCAATCCATGGCCATGTGAAGTTTGGAAACGATTCCAAAGTAAGGGTTGATGGAAAGGGTTCAATCGTGTTCAAGTGTAAAGATGGTGGAAGCCGAAAACTCGATAATGTTTACTATATTCCTGAGTTATGTAGTAACATTATCAGTTTAGGACAACTGGCGGAAGGTGGAGATGAAATAAAAATCAAGGATCCATTTTTATGGGTGCATGACTCGACTGGAAAGTTACTCATGAAGGTTCGCAGGTCACACAATAGACTCTATAAGATAGAGCTAGAAGAGATCACCCCCATCTGCCTTGTTGCTGAAACTGAAGAGTCCATATGGCTGTGGCACAAGCGATTGGGCCATATTAACTTTAATTCGATGAAGCAAATGGTGGACAAAGGCCTAATTGGAGGTGTGCCTCAGATGAAAATCCCCACACAGCCATGTGAAGGATGCTTGATGGGAAAGCAGACTCGAAATCCATTCCCATCCCAGACAAGTTACAGAGCAAAGAAGAAATTGGAATTACTCCATGGTGATCTATGTGGCCCAATCATACCTCCCACACCTGTTGGAAACAGATATTTCATGCTTATTGTAGATGATTATAGCAGAGTGATGTGGGCCTATTTAATGAAGACAAAGGATGAAGCACTTCAAATGTTCAAGATGTTCAGAGGAAAGGTAGAAACTGAGACTGGAGAGAAGATAAAAGTGCTCAGAACTGATCGCGATGGCGAATTTCTATCGAATGAATTTACAAAGTATTGTAATGAGACTGGGTTAGAGAGGCATTACACTTCTCCATACTCTCCACAGCAAAATGGGGTAGTGGAGAGACGTAAACGAACGGTATTAGAAATGGTTCGCTACAACCTGAAGACCATGACAATGCCTGATGCTCTGTGGGGAGAAGCTGTAATGTACTCCGTTTATGTCCTAAACAGAGTTCAAACAAAAGCCTTAAAGAATTCGACACTGTATAAGATGTGGATGGGAAGAAGACCACATGTCGAACATCTCAGAGTATTTGGATGCGTGGCTCACATGAAGGTTGCAAAGAGTCACTTAAAGAAACTAGAGGATAGAAGTATTCGTCTGGTTCATCTGGGAGTTGAGAAAGGAACAAAAGCATATAGACTAATGTATCCAAATACGAGAAAGATGTATGTTAGTCGGGATGTTATATTTGACGAAAATCAGGCATGGACGTGGGATAGTAGTGGGAAGATAAAGGTGACACCAGGGATGAGCTTCATTGTCAAAGGATTTAACTTCGACGATGAATTTGATGATGATATCGGCGAATGGGTACCGGATACTCCGGATCAAGGGAACACGACGTCAGAATTAAATGAAGATTGGGTCAATTTTGACCAGTCAAATGACTTGGGTGACCCGGGTTCAAGTCAATCTGGCACACCGGTAAATTCTCCAAACACACCCAATTCTCACACACCGCAAAGTTCCCCAATTCACACACCGTCTTCGAGCACCACATCCAGCTCCACCGGCGGAGGAGCTCCAAAGCGATATCGGCTACTTACCGATCTGTACGAGGCCACAGATGAGATCCACATACCCCTAGAAGAACTTCTATTGGTCCATAATGATGAAGAACCAACCTCATACGTCGAAGCAATCAAAGAAAAAGAATGGGCACGAGCAATGGAAGCGGAATTAACATCGATTGAGAAGAACAATACATGGGAGTTAGTCGACCTGCCAAGGAATCGCAAGGCTATCGGTCTAAAATGGGTATTCAAGCTGAAGAGAGATCCAAGTGGGAAAATAGTCAAGCACAAAGCTCGGATTGTGGCGAAGGGCTATGTTCAGAAGCATGGGATTGATTACGAAGAAGTCTTCGCCCCAATAGCAAGAATAGAAACAGTGAGGTTAATTCTAGCCCTAGCAGGGACAAATGGGTGGAAAGTACACCACTTGGATGTCAAATCGGCATTCTTGAACGGTAATTTAGAAGAAGAAGTCTACGTATCTCAACCACCGGGATACGAGAAGAAAGAAGAGCCAAACAAGGTCTTAAAGTTGTCTAAAGCTCTGTACGGCCTTAAACAAGCCCCTGGGGCATGGAATGCGTGCTTAGATGCATATCTGAAGAAATTGGGATTCAAAAGAGGCCCTCGAGAGTATTCAGTCTACACAAGAAAGAAAGGTGAAAGTACACTGGTCGTTGGGGTTTATGTCGATGATTTGCTAGTGACAGGGAGCTCAACTGAAGAAGTGAAGAAATTCAAGATGGAGATGAATGCAAAGTTTGAAATGAGCGAACTTGGGCTTCTAACATACTACATGGGAATTGAGGTATGTCAATAAAACCAATGCATTACTCTAAAACAAGAGGCCTATGCTAGAAAACTGCTAGAAAAGACACGCATGCTTGACTGTAATCCTACAAGGTGTCCCATGGAGCATAAGTTATCATTAACCAAGGAAGGAGATGGAGACTTGGTGAATCCCACATAATATAGGAGCATTGTAGGTGGACTCAGATACTTGACCCATACAAGACCAGATCTGTCCTTTGCTGTGGGTGTGGTTAGTCGTTTCATGGAAACACCCACCAAAGTCCACCTGCAAGCTGTAAAAGGAATACTCAGGTACATCAAAGGAACTCTGGACCATGGTTTGATCTACACACAGGGAGAGAACAAGATCACAATCTCAGGATTTTCAGATAGTGATCATGCAAAGGATGTAAATGACAGGAGGAGTACAGGGGGCATGGTTTTCTATGTGAATGGGAACATGGTCACATGGTCATCACAAAAACAGAGATGTGTAGCTCTGTCTTCGTGTGAGGCTGAGTTCATGGCAGCCACTATGACAGCATGCCAAGGTATTTGGCTAAGAAGATTGCTAACAGAGATAACAGGTCAAAATATTCCTCCAGTAAGGATGTTTGTTGATAATAAACCAGTCCTAGAACTTATGAAGAACCCAGTGTATCATGGTAGGAGTAAACACATAGATGTGAGGTTTCATTTCATCAGGGAGTGTGTTGAAAATGGGGAAATTGAAGTTACACATGTAGATGGGAAGGAACAAAAGGCAGACATGCTTACCAAGCCATTAGCCAGAGTGAAGCATGATGAAATGTGCAGGATGATTAGCATCAAGAAGATTGGAGCTCAGAATTAAGGGGGAAAATGTTATTATAATTCTGAGTTTAGTAAGTTTTTATTAAGTCTTTATTAATGCACGTTTTAATAGTTAGCAAGAATAAATCAAAGCCATGTTGGCTATGCAGTCCGGGTCTCATGTTTGGTGGAGTTAGTTGCTAATTAGTCGCATTTTCTTGTGTTTAAATAGTTTATGCTTGTGTACGTTGAGGATCATCTCCTCCAATTTTTCACTGAATAAAGCATTAAGCTTGTGAAATCCTCTGTTTCTTCCTTTTTCCCGGTTTTTTTTTCAATGTTTCATTGAAGTCTTGAAGACACAGGTTTGTGAAAAACCTACAATCCTAAGCAATACTTTAACATTCTTTCCTGTGATTCTTGCAGCCGATACAATGTTATCCAAATCAAATTCACTATCTACGTTAACAAATACACCTTCTTCCGCAGCAACCACAAGTTCCTCCAAAAGCTTCCCATTTCCATTAAAAAAACACCTGCCATGCATATCAAACTACAAACTCAATCTCCACGGAGGAGTTTTAACACCAATTTGAAGCAACAAGTTGCCAAAAGTCCACTATTTCTGCCATGCATATAAAACTACAAACCACACATGTTATAGAATAAACATACAGAAATCGATTATCAAAAACTGATACCTGGAAGGATCGAAGCCAGCATCAATGGTCAATCTGAGCTCATTGCCATTGAACACAACAGCCCCACGGCCCATCTTCCTCATATGCTGCAAAATGATGAAGTTATTATCGGCTTTAACTGCATATCTGACGATCGAATTCAATCCCTCCAAAGAACTTTATAAGCTTCGATATTTCTGGTTATCTGCGGCCTACTGTAAAGATAAAAAGGCGTTCTTTCAGCAGCATCCAAGACTTCTTGGACCTTAACAACCTCACAATACATATATTCATCTTCTTTTTTGGTGAAGCAATGTTGAAAGTTCTGGCCTATGGCTCGGATAGCGACTGATTTTGAACTGGGTTTGAAACACATTACGCTTCCGGGTATGATCGATTTATTTATGGATTTGGCGAAACAGAATGATTGGAACTGAAACTGAGAGGAATAAGCGGCAGCCACCATTTCCATTGATATTTTTACGAGTTAAGCATTCAAGACGTTGCTATTTCTACTACTATTCGTAAAAAAGGTGATAGACCTCAAAGATTTCGAAATTCCGTGATTTACGAGTTAAACATAACTAATCGACGTTATCGATCATGACGTACAATATTTTCAAATTGCAACATATTGTTTATTTTTCTAATTTAAGGCCTCCCCAATGACCAAACTAAAGCTGACAATGGGTCGATCTGGGGTTGGGTTCGAGTTCAACCCATTTATTAATTGGGTTGAAGATTTCAATCCAACCCAACTTATTTATTTAAATGGGTTGATATTTCCAACCCAACCCAACATAACCTTTCCGATAAATGGGTTGTCACTGGGTTGACATATTTATGTAGTTCCCAACCCAGTGTATTAAATAATTGATTAAACTTAGGTTGACCCATTTAAAATAAAAATTAATTAATTAATTAATTAATTAAAAGTTACACCACTTAAATTAGTTATGGACTTCAATAAAATTTCAAATTATGATAAAAGTACAATCCCAATTCGCATATATAAAGAAATTGATCAAATAAAATTAAATAGATGTAATTTCTAAGTGGTTTTAAAGAGTGACTAGTGTTGTCGTTGCAAAAAAAAAATTAGTAATTAGGATTCCTAACATAAATAATAATACGGTTATTGTAATTTATAAACTAATACTTATATTAATACATGATAATATTTAAATAATTATTAAATTAAATATAAATTAAAGTTAAATGTGTTGGTGGGTTGAAAACGGGTTAATAATTTTTACCCGACCCAACCTATTTAATTAAATGGGTTAGACGGGTTGACCCATTTAATTTAAATGTGTTGAAAATCTCAGTCCAACCTGCTAATTTTGGATTGGGTTCGGGTTGGATTGGTGGGTTGGGTCGATTTTTGCAAGCTCTAGCTCAAACACAGCGGTTGGTATAAGTCTAAAGCTATAGCTTTTATTTTTATAAAAGTGTTCGGCAACTACCTATAAATTTTTGAAATATGTAAAATTACATAAAAAAACATATAGACATAAAGTAAAATTAAAATATAATGATTATAAATTATTTTTTCGAAACTATAATTATCCAAATTTAAAAACCATCCAAATTTTAATATTAAAACCCCGATTAAGCTTTTCAATTGGTAAAAACGTTTCTATGCATATAAAAAGTGATAGATTTTTTTTACAAATAAACTAAATAAGACTTTTTAATATTGGTAAAAACTAGCGAATAAATTAGATTATTTTTCGAATTTTTTTAAATTGTCATGTTTGATAAACCAAAAAGTGGTTGATAATTTGTTTTTTTTTAAAGTTACTTAAAATAGCTTTTCATGATCTTTTTTAAAATTTTCCGAATGTACCCTCAATTAACTATAAAAAACATATTAATCTTCTAAATGTCATTCTATATCTTCATACTTGCTTATTAGCTAGTTTTTACTAAACGTCGTTTTTATAGCTTTTTAAAAAAAACTTCTGAAAAGCTAATATAAGTAGCTTTTTAAAAACTAGCTTATAAGATACTTTTTTGTTTGTCAAATATGACAACTTATGATGTTTTTGGTATGTCATAACTAGTTGATTTTGCTGGCTTTTTTATGGTGATATGTTTGATAAACCAAAAATTAGTTTATACTAGCTTTTTTATAAGCTTTTTTAAAACTTTTCAAATATACCCTTAATTTATCATTAAAAAAACATATTCTTCCAAATGTTTTTTTTGTTATTTTATATCATTTAGGTAGTTTATCATCTAGTTTTACTAAGCGTTATTTTTTATCAGCTAGTTTTTCAACTATCAGTTAGTTTTTCATATAACAACTAGTTTTTCAGCTATCAACTACTATGCAAAATATAACCTTAAAACCTAGAAAAATAAGGTAGTTTATCAAATATATCTTCCATAAAAGTTGTGTGACAACCCGAAACTTTTTCCGTTTCCATTATGTGATTTCCGTTAATAACATTTGAATTTTATTAATCTTCCGTCGAACCTTTGATTTAGAAAATCATCTGGTATTATATAATTAAACTTATATATGCAAGTCAGAACCAAAAACCGCGCGAAACTCGAAATATCCTCGAAAATTATCATGTTCACGGCCTGACTGGAGTTCACGGTTTACGGCCGTAAACTCGTTTGCGGCCAGCGTCGGGTGGACCCCACCCACCGACCACAAAATCCCCTATAAATATGAGACCCCCCAGCCTCATTTGTACATTTCTGACCGGAAACCCTCTCATTCTCTCTCTAGAACCTCTGGCCGTAAACTCCGTAACACCCTCTTTTCTCTCTAAAAATCATCAGAAAACACTCCTGGAGGTTGTTTAAGAGCATCTAAAACGAGTTTTCATCGAAAACAGCATCACTGTTCTTGAGTTTACGGTCAATCTTCGTAGACCGTAAACCCATTTCCGACCGTAAACTCACCAGATCTTCAAAGGCCGTAAACTCAGTTTACGACCGTAAACCCTGTTCACGGCCGTAAACTGTCTGTCGACCGTAAACACCTTTTAAGTGGTGCAGTTGTCCGAAAACCCACTTTTCCCGATTCGATCAAGTCCTGGTAACATTCCTTAACCGAAAGCAAGTGTTTCTCTAACACTTTATCTAACGAAATCGCTAATTTAGATACATATATGTATTTATTTGATAATAGGATTCCGTTAAGTGCCACGTACAACAACCCAAGGATCTTCGTTTCCGGTGGACGTTTTCACACAACCACTGTGAGTTCATACCCCTACATTTTCCGTGTTTTTAATGTTTTCAGGGGGGAATACAAGCCAAACTCAAAGTATTTTATTAAGTTTTAAACTTCTTAATACAATCCAACGATTTCTACGTATAATAACATATTCGGATATTTTATCCCTTTTTAATATGTTGAGCATAAGGGAAATTTTTATATTGGAAATCTAATTTCATAGCTTTCAGAATGGTTTTTACAAAGCATTTTCATATCAATTCTATTAAACTATAATGGGTATAGTTTGGGATAACCCTCTAGGCAGTTTTCACCAAATCAGATTTAATGAATAAATATGTATAAACTATGGCAGATTTAGTTTATGTTATATATTTTCTCAGGAGTATAAAGTACTATTATTCAAAGTTAATTATTGTTTTATACTGTTTCTCGCTAGTAAACTAGATTATACATAATTGTGAGGCTCTACTTCAATACTGTACCCTTTAGTGTACAGAACTAAATCCTATCATAGTATAACCAGAGTCTCCTGGAGGGAGAGCGTGAGATTTGTGAATAGATCTATTCGGGACTGACAATCCCACACCTGAACTGCTAGCTACAGTTAGGCGGGCACGCCTGGGGTGAACAAATGTCATTTTACTTAACGCTTGAAGAACGTTATAAAGGTCTCTAGGTCATATCAAGTATGGTTATACGACTCGCAAATAAGTATAAACTAACTTTGGTTTACGGACTCTACTCTTCATTGTTTTATTTTGAGTAATAAAACTACTTTTATACATACTGATAGTAATCAGGGATTTCTAAACTGACGTCTCTACCTCTAGAACGGATAACTTGTTTTTAGGGAAAATATAGGATTTTCCCAGGATAACACTGGCATTTCTAAAACTGATGGTTTACTTTCTACTAACAGATACTCTTTCAAAACTACTTTTCATAAGAAAATATAGGATTTTCTTGAGGAACCCTCTTCAAAAAGGATCAAAGAAACATTTTCTACAAAAACTAAATGCTTATGAACTCACCAGCTTTATGCTGATATTCTTTCAAAACTGCTTGTATTCTTAGGAAATCAGTAGACAGGTACCTGCTGGAATTTGAGAAGCTGGAGCAATAAGAGTCTTATGTTATTACTTTACATACTTTTGATGTACCTAAAACAAGAATTCAAACTAATGTAAACATTTTACTTATATATTTATCCACTGTATTGGTTGTGTTGTTATGTTTCCTATTATTCATTGGTTATGATGTTAAACATGACGTCCTCCGCCCCCGAACGTTTCCGTCGTTCCGGTTTGGGGGTGTGACAAGTTGTGAGAGTAAACTTGATCATTTATGCACAATATGAAATATATCAAGTTTTGCAATGTTGAATGTTGAAAAATAAATAAATAAATAAAACAAAAAAGTTAGAGAAAGTGTTTGATTACATGTTACATTAATATCGTTTACTAGGTCCACTACAGGAAATGTTGCTTCATAACGGAGATATAAGAAACGATCTTTAAACTGCCAGTGTAATGCCCCGATTCCCGAATATCAATTTATAGTGATAAATTCTCATGGATTCAAGGTCTACTCGATGAGTTGGTTGCCTGACTCGTCGAGTAGCAGCGGGTTAGGCCGCGCACTTAAGTGACCTACTCGCTGAGTCCAAGAAGGGACTCGACAAGTAGGAGCTGGCAAATGAAACCCTAAATTATGGGGTATTGCACCATATTTAAAGGATCATTGGCCTCCTCAGCCTCCCCTTACAGCCTCTTGATAATCCAGAAACCCTAATTCGTGTGAGTATGCTTCATGTGTGTATTCTTAAGCTTTGGAAGAGGATCTTTGGAGTGGAAAGCTTGGAGAGCAAGTATCTAGAAGCAAGGGAACGTGTGGGATCTAAAATCTATCTTAGTGGCATCCTTTGGAAGGTATCAAATCGCTATCTTGACCTCATTTCATTTCTAGATCTCTTTTGAGTAAATTTTAGGGCTTTTCTAGTATGTTGGGAAGCTTTTCTCGTGTATAAGCTAAGATCTGAAGTTGTAACTTCAGATCTGAACTCTCTTGGGCCTTTAAGTCCATAAAGCTTCTGACTTCAGCAAAGATGAGACTCTCCCTAGGTGCAAACCTCCATTTGCAAGCGTAGTTTGTCATTTTAAGACTTTAGGGCCTTGCATGCACGTAAAGTTTGCAACTTTACGTGATAAACATGCCTTGGGAAGCTGGATTTACAATATGGAGCCTTAGCATGGCTTAAAAAGCCACTGTATGGA